ACACACACACACACACACACACACACACACACACACACGCACGCGCCCACGCACGCACGTACAGACATGCGTTGACAGAACTATCCTGATGTTAGTTCTGTGAATCAAGCAACGAAAAGCCTTCCGTGGATTAGATACACAGGATTCTGCCAGTTAGTTAGAGCGTCTGATAGTTCAGGAAATAAAGAAAAGAAAAGAACGGGCGGTAAACTGTGCGAGATAAACTGGGAAACGAGAGAGAGCGAGAGAGAGAGAGAGAGAGAGAAATGTGTGTGCGTGCAAGGGAGAGGGGGAGAGAAAAATAGAGACAGGGAGAGAAAAAGAGAGAGTGGGGAAGAGACAGAAAGAAAGAGAGAGAGAGAGAGAGAGAGAGAGAGAGAGAGAGAGAGAGAGAGAGAGCGAGAAAGAAAGAAAGAGAGAGGAGGGGAGAGACAGAAAAAGAGAGTGAGGGGGATTTTATAATCTAATCATATTCGTAATAACTGTATCTCTGTATATGACAACACACCGCGAGTGCACGCCCTTAAAAACCTGCCGCCCCTGTTATATTATGTCCCTATATTCGAGAAAAAAGAGTAATATTATTTTCACAAAAGTTCCCCGTCCTTAAAAATATTAAAAGTACGGATGCTCTCTCCATCTCTATATGCGCCGCGAGCACTGATCTCTATAATATAATCATATATACAATTATATTATAGAGATCAGTGGCCGCGAGGCAATATAAGTTGCATACGTCACATCAGACGATCACGACTTTTTACATTCACCAAGCTGTTAGGATGGAATTAGACGCCACCTGCTGGCAACGACCAGAATGAAATATTGGCCCACTTTTCCCCAACCCTGCCCTAAACCCTTGATATGGTTCACCGTGTATCAAAATCACACGATAATTCAAACGTGTTGGCTTAGTGTAGTGATGTGTATCATAACAAATTAAGACAATCGGAATTCATCGGTGCTCTTGGTACAATATCACAATGATATCAGGAGTGTGTCATAATATATTACGTATATATTATCAGGGGTTAATAATGTTATCCTGATTAACCCCTGATAATATATATTCTAGATCATGACCCCTGATGATAGTTGATTTGTTATGTTTCTTGATAAGGCCAAATGAAGCTTGTAATTTAAGACTGCTCGCTCGCATACCAAAAACCTGTATAATTCTGTTTAACCTAACATGTCAAAAAAGTTTTCGGCGTATGCACAATTAAAGTAACAGGCATTAATTATCATCAAAATACCGATACACCACTGCCGTCTTTTTAACTGAAAGCGTTTGTCAAATATTTTTTGCCGATGAAGAAAAATCTACTGTAGTCCAACATGTTATAGTGAACTCACAGCAGAGCTGTGTGAACGATTTTCATAGCTGAACGATTGACTCGATTTAAAATGCAAACTTCCGAGAGATCGTGTGCAGCAAAATGTGAGCTTGAAATAACAATTTCAAATAAATTAATCTCTGTTACAAACACCAACGATATTTGAGGAATTTAACATATATGGATTTGTTCACCTTCTTTTTCTATATATATTTTATTTGTTTTATGCTATGAGCAATCCATTCTCTATGTGCACCGAAAATAGATAATTATGTATATTGTATATATATTATATCTATCTATCTATATATATATCTATATATATCTATATATATCATATTATCTATAATATATATATATATATAATATATATAGTATATATATATATATATATTATATATATATATATATATATACAGATCCATCCGCTTCTCCCGCTAGGACAATGGAGTGGAAGTTGGAAAACCCATGTGCAGTGAGTGGTACATAGACAATGTCGTTAAATTATTCTTGAAGAGTTCATAGTAATTTATTGTATATATATGAGCGCGGTTAAATTAGTTATCACCGTTAAATCGCTTGACGCCACATGCTTTTGCGTGTTTTGGTGTTTGAAGTAAGCCGAGCCTCATTCTTGCTCGATCCGCGCAACCGTGGCACGCGATCCTGCGCGCTTGGAGGCCAAATAAGTCTATATCATCTCGACACCGGCAGGGGAGCAGCAGGGTAAGAAGCCAGAAGAAGGTATATAATACTATCTATCAGCCCCAGAACATATATATATCAGAAGTAAGATAATAGCCGGAAGGTAGTCCGATGACTTCAATAAACAAGGGAAATTCGTCCATTTACCTAGCCCTTAGATACCGGACGATGTACTCACGCCGTAACGTCAACCACACTGAAACTTCTCCCCAATCCCTAATTACTCCCCCATTCCTCCCTCCCCCACTCCCTCCCTCCCCCTCCCTCCCTCCACAACACCTTCCTCCTACTCCTCCCTCCTTCATCGCGGCAGTTAGATGATGAAGTTTAGATGGTCCCTACTGCATTGTGGCGAGTTAGATTTCCCGGGGGGGGGGGTCGTAAGCTGCTGCGTGACCGTCTATAGAAGGCGAGAAGGTGGCAGCGTGGATACAGCACCAGCCACGTAGAGATGAGCGATGGTGTAAGACCGAACCTGTCAGCATTGCCTGCCACCGGGTGGTGGATGGGCGACGGGAGGCGCTCTTAGTATACCTATTGTGTACTCGAAAGACAACAGAGAGAGCATTCACTGTAATGAGTGGCGGGCGTTGTAGGAGGAAACTGTGGCGGGGCAGCATCAGGGCGGGGGAGGGGAGAAAAGGGTTAGGCCTAGTGAAAGCTTCTGGATATACAACATTGTTACGAAATTACGCCAAGTTATTATGAATATGCCTCTGTGGCTTTGCAAGCCTCGTCTCGCCTTTTAAATACACGATTGGTGACATCTGTCACGTGTCTCTCTTATCATTGGGATTCGCTTTACATCAAAATAATACCTGAAAACTCTCATTAGTATTTGAAATTACTGAGTAGGCCTATTAAGTAGGGAGCATCTAATTGGTATCTAAATAATTGGCAATCCGACTAACAACTAGCAGCATCTAGTGAGCGCACACTACAAATCACAAAGTCAATATGCTGGTAAAAACTCACTTATTGTACAATAATGAAACACGCTACATAGATTAATAAACTAAACTAAATACATATGTTAATAACCGCCATTTCGAAAGGTTCGTACTTGCTTTTTTGTACTTGTTTTGGTAAGGTTGTAAAGGTTGTAAGGTTGTAAAGGTACTTGTTTGTAAAGGTTCGTACTTGTATTTTACTTGCTTTTAAATAGTATAGCTTTTAGTGCATCATTTTAAATATGCTTAGGCGCACCTATACTGGTGATCACTGATCACCTAACAGTGTGGCAATCAATAAACAGCGGAATGCATAGCTGACACACAGCCAGAGTTCGTTTTTGTAGCAGTACTATATATATATTCACATCCTCCTGCTCTCTCCCCCGGATCCACCTCTTCGCTCGGCCCCCCCGTCTCTCCCTCCCCCCCCCGCGCTGTCGGAGGGCCGAGATTGTGATGCTACTCACATAGACATTGTGAATGCGAGGTTCGCCCGCGTGCAGCCAGAGGAGAGAGAGATCAGCGTTATATATATATATGTA